CTAGCCTCGTGCTATAGCCGTGCCTGATGCACGCGCGTTGATCGATTGCTGGTGGCTGTTTGAATTGTTCTCGCTCTCGCGGTCGCATCCATGAGAAGATGCGCCAAGTCGTTCGTGTGCCTCCTGATCGTGTCCACCTTTTCTCGCGACTGCCGGCTGTCGACCCTGCGTATCTTCCTTCGACCGACCTATTGCTCCGTTCTGAGCGGACGTTAGCCTTGTGCGGAACACTTGGTAGTCGGCATGAAGGTCTATGGCTCTGTTAAGTGTGCCAGTCGAGGACTAACTTTCTAGCACGAGGCTGGCGGTAAGACACACACCTTCGACACCGGCAGGAAAATAGACACTACGCTCTGACGATGAAAGCGAGAATGCTTTTGAAGCCTCAGCCTAAATATAATTTGGTCGCAGGAATTGCCCCATCTTCAGCTTCCTCTTCCGGGAATGATGAAAGCAGTATTATATCTGGACTTCGAAAATTTGCGCTTATTAATTTTGAACTAAACCACGCCAGTGCCGCTGTCAGTCTCCAGCACACACTCATTGACTCTATCTAAGCACTGGTATTTAGCCCCAACTAAGCAGTTTAATGCGTCACACGTACATGTACTTGGAATACTTTCACCTCTTTCAATTTCAGACTCGTGAGAACATGGAGTTGACCAAGATCTGCGACGAACTCATCAGCAAATACAGCGACAAGTCCTGAATCTGTGCGCGGTCTGCTCCTGTTTTTATCCTGCACGTGGCCATTCACCCGCCTACCAACCTCCTCTCTCGAGATCTTGTTAGAAAAAACACGAAGCTGAGGCCCTTTGCCTGCTGATGTGTTCCCGTGCGATGTTTATTTTTGTACGAAACGGGAATGCCATATCGGCACACCTACTGTGTCTTTTGTTCTGACCCTATTGACCCGAGCCAGCTCATTCTGCGCACTGACCCAGCCAATTCCACGGCGAGTTCGGCTCTCCCTCTGTTCACCCCCCATTTCATGGTACGTCTCTTTCCCGAACGCAGCCACTGGTGTGAAACAAAGCGGTTCGCTGTGACGTGTTGCATGTGCATTTCTGGGTTGTTGTTTTTTCATTCTCACCTTTCTCCTGGGTAACTTATTCCCTTATTTCATTTTTGTTTAATGCAAGAAACCACTGTTTCGTTCTTTTGCCCGGAATTGCTAGATCAGCTGCCTCTTTTTACGCGAGCCCCTTTCTCGCTCAGGCTATGTAGTGACATCTTTCGGAGCGATATCGTGATCATTAGTATGCGTTATTGAAGGGTTGTTTACTTCCACTGGAATAAGATATGGCCAGCTAATTTAGTTTCTTACGCAGTATTCTAGGAGAGCCTTGATCTTTGGCACTGCTTTGGCAAATTTCTGAACTTTAAGAGGATAGCAGGGTAGGGTTTCCAGAATTCGGTTTGTGAGAACTATTTGGCTTTAAGGAAGATTGTCAACTAACCGTATTTACTGCAGGAGATTCGTCAGCGACAGGCCTTCTAAAAGTTACTTATCTTCGGGAAAATTAAACAGCATGGGCACTTTGCTTCAATTCCAAGATATCTACTCAGGCCTGATCCGTGAATCAAATACAGATAATTTGCAGGTTTTGTGAATAAACGTCGTCGCCGTCATCAAACATGCGAAAAAGATACAAATTAAAGTAGTACCTGTGGACAGACATTCTCTTTGACTAAAAAATAACTTTGTTTACCTGACGTAATGAGGCCGGACTCCTAGTCTGGTACCATGATTAGCAAGAATATAGTGTTCATTCCAGCTACTCCGCCTCTGTGGTCTTGCGAATTTCGGGTTTCCGTTTCACCTGAAGACGAATTGTGCTACAGACGGCTGAGTATTCTCGACTATAACGTAGCTGGGAATTATA